TGCCAGCTCCTAGCTGGCACGAGGTTCAGAGGCTCTCACGTTGGGTGCCAGATATGGGGCGCACTGGGTGCCAGGTGTGGGGTGCGTGGGTATCTGCTCCTGTGCTGCTTCCCTGCATCTTCCGTGGCTCTCTGCTGGTGGGGCTTTGCCCAGCCGAGTCCTGCCCTAATTTCACCCGTGCACTTTCCTCAAGATGCGAAATCCACCGGCCGCTGGATCACGCAGGAGAGTGTGAGGGCGGCTAAAGCTGGGATCTGTGAGTCGGTGATGGAAAGACAGCTCTTCCTGGGAAGGCTGGATCGTAGGCAGTGAGACAAGACTCAGCTCAATCAGATTCAGTGTTACAGCTGTTTATTCAATGGCTCTGCGTGGCTCCAAGCCTCAGTGTCCCAGAGTGATCCAGCTCCTTCAATTATTGAGGGGAATCAGGGAACTTTATACCGTGGGGGTAGTGGTAAAAGCTTCAGCTGATAGGTACTTTGGGGATGCCTCATTTGCGTGTGGAAATGGGCTCCCGCCAGGCTGCCAAACTGCTTGAAAATCACACAGGAAAGCCTAATGGTTACAGAGCCGGAGGCTACATTCCTGTGGCTGCTACTTCACAAAGGAGTCAGGAAAAATGCTGGGAAGACACCCTGCTGTGAAAGGAGTCTCTGCATATGGCTCCGAGCTCGTGAGCTATGCAGACATGAAGAAACTTCTACTTTACACAACAGAGGTCCCCAACAAGGTCACATATAGTTTAGAGGAGGGAAGACCTGACAGGTGCTTCTCCTTTCTGGGCACAGTGTTCCTGCCCCATTTGGGGATCAGTAAATTCAAACTCTACCTCCCTTGTACCCCATAATTGGCTCTGGGTCTTGATTTTTCCTATAGAGGTCCCTACACTCCTCTGCTTAGAGCTAGGTCATTGCACTAGCCCTCACCCTGGGCTCTGAGGCCCACTTTCTCCTGGTTCTCGGGCAGGAATGGAAGCAGGTCGTGGCTGAGCTGATGCTGTGGATGGAGGAGAAATGGCTCATGGCAGCAGATGAGCCCTCCCAAGCACACAGCAACATTCTACAGAAAGTAAAGTGGAACAAAGCAGCTGAGAGTGAGCTGCTAGCTACCTGTGGGCACCTGAAGAGCCTACAGCAGGTGAGGGATGCTGGACAGAGGGTGGAGGGCCCACTCCTCTTCAGATCCCAAGTACATACTTCCCTGCCTATTTTCATGGAACATGGTCACTGAAGGAAAAATCACCCTATTGCCTCCTTCACTTAGCAGGATGTCCCCTAGCTAGGCACCCAAATCAGCTCAAGCTTCCACCACCCCAGGCAAGCAGTAGAAATAAGCTATAGCCACCAACCTTCCCTCCATGCTATCTGGATCCAGAGTTCTCTGATTGCTGGAGGTCCTAGCAGCCCAGCAAAATGACCTAGCCCCTTGTTTCCACTCCAGGCTGGGAGACAGCTGCTGCACAGTCACCCGTATGCTCAGGAGGACATACAGAACAGACTTCAGGGCCTCAGTCACAAGTGGGAAGAGTTGAACCATAAGATGGTAGAGGGAAGGGACAAGCTGTGGCAAACCAGGCAGCATAGAGAGCTTCTGGAGCTGCTACAGGTCTGTGGGAAGTGGGGGATGCAAAAGGGGGACGGACTTGGCTCGGGGAGGGTGGGAGCAGGAAGAGCAGAAAGGGCAGGAATGAGTCTGATTGCTCTGGAGATGCCCCATGAGGTCCTATAGAGGGCTCTGGCCCAAGGCAAGCTGAGCATGACTTTACCCAGTAGCAGGTTAGCATGAGTGTGCCTCTTGTGTGTCTAGCCTGTGATTATCACAGCTTGAGTCTCCTAGAAAGGAAGATGCATAAGGGAATGACTTGAGCACTGCTGGTTGAGGAAGGGGGGAATGAGGGTCCTGCTCTTAGAGCCACAGCAGGCCTGCCTGCTGTGCTGTTGTGGGAAGGTGAATGCAGCACCTTGCGGCCCTCCCCACAATATTGAGGAAAAGATGGAGCATCTGGAAGGGGCCCTGTGGAGTGCAGAAACTTGTCAGGACTTATGCTCTAGCCTGGGGCTGCAGAGGCAGCATTGCCAACTAGAGAACAAGAGCCACGCACTGGCTAGCAAGATTGCTGCCCTCATCTCTCAGGCCCATAACGCAGTCACTTCCCCGACCATCTTGGAAGAGAGCCAGAAGTGTCACCAGAGGTAACATTCCATCTTCACCTTGCTGTGGGTCACACCCCCTTCATGTGAACCTAAGGACTGAGTGGCACCTGTAGGATCTAGGGGATTCATGCCTCCTTCCCTTGTGAGTAAGTCATTTTAGGGTTGGAGGACCAGGACAAAGTTAGGCAGGACATCCCATCGCTGAGGTCAGGTGCATCCTCTCGGCTGCCTACCTGTCATCAGAGGAGGTTTCCCTCTATTCCCTGGCCTTGTTCCTCATGCACCCCTGGCTGGAATGAGGAAAGGATAATGGCCTTGTCCTCATCCTTTCCCCAGACTTTCCCATCTCCTCTCTCTACCAGGTTCAAGTTCCTGCAGGGCCATCTGGCCACCCGTCACCTGCGACTGCAGGCCTTGGTTGAGTTGTACCAGTTTAACCACCTTAGTAACCTGGAGCTCACATGGGTAGCTGAGCACATGCCCAGCGCCGGCCCCACCATCTTCACCCAGTGCTGGCATGATGTCCAGAGCCTTCAACATAAACACAAGGTAGTGCCTCTCTTTTCCTACCAGACCCCCCAACATCTCATTCTCAGACCTCAGAAGCCCTCTGCCACTACTCAGGGTGTTCTGGACTCTGAATCCCTCTCCTTGGGTGTCTTGATTTCCATATCCACTCTGCTCCAGATATCATTAGTCTGGAGGTCTAGAACCTAGAGCCACATGCTCTGGTCTGGATATTCTGTGGTTAAGGAACTCCCAGAGGCAACTACCTGGCCCATTGTTCTGTGGCAGATGTTCCAGGCTGAGGTGAGAGCACACCAGGGGCAGGTGCTCTGCCTAGTACTGGGTTCTGGCCGAAGCCTAGTAGCCTCTGGGCACCCCAAAGCTTGGCACATCATGGAACAATGCCAAAAGCTGGAAGGCCACTGGGCAGAGCTGGAGCAGATCTGTGAGGCACACGCCCATTGCCTACAGCGGGCTGTCACTGCCCAGCAGGTAGGAGACATAGAGCAGCACAAGCCAGGCGAGCTGTGGAAGAGAGGAATTGTGGATCGCTCAGAGAGGGAGATCAGTGAGTGATGAGAGCTCTGGGCCAAAAGTTAGCTGGTTCCCATGAGGGCCCAGAAACCTATCTGTGCAGGCTGCTGGCAACCAGGATGGGTGATAGAGGGTCCCATCTGAGATCACCAAGGTGAGTCAGCACTATTCTTGCCAGTATCTTCTGCATGTGTCAGAGCTGGAGAGCTGGGTGGGGGAGAAGTGGCCACTGGTGAGCAGTCAGGACTATGGCAGAGACGAGACAGCTACCTTCCTGCTCATTAGGAAACACCAGGCACCACATGATGGGTGACAGTGGACCATGAAGAGGTCTGTCACATTTCCAAAGAGCACATCCTACTTTTTGAGGCACAGAACTCTGCTCCTCCTTCCTGAGCACATCACCAGTCCCATCCCATCACCTACCCAAGTCCTGCCACACCTCCCTCCTCCCCCAGCACCTGCTTCTTCAAGGAAAATACAGTACTACTACTCAGGAGAGTGCTCTCTCTTCTGTAGCCTCCTTTCTGGACTTGCTTCTCTGTTTAGACTTGGGGTGTATCTGCCTCTCTTGCTATCTCCTCTCCTCCCCAGCACATTCCTGCTCCTTTGGGGTCACCTGCTCCAGCCTGCTCTGCATTCTCCACAGGTGTCTTCCTCTTGGGTTGGGAACATTGACCCTTGCATTAACCCAATGCTTACTCCTCCCACAGGCATCCCCTGGGAGACCACAGTGGACTCTCAGAACCAACAGGCTCCAAAGCCTGGTTCTTGTCATGGAAGTGTCCTCCTGTCTGGGCACTTTCCTGCATTTCCCAGTGGTTACTGTTTTCAAGTCTTGTGGCTGAGGACCTTCAGCAAGCCATTCCTAAAGGACATGCCTACAGCCTTGGCTTCACAGGGCCTCCATGTCCCAGGCACACAAGGGGGCACTTATTTAGTGTCTAGCTCTTACACTTTGATATTGAGGTCCTGTACCCCTCTTCCTTCCTTGGTCCATTCTACCCACCATTTGCTCTTCTCTGCTAAGTAGTGAGCCCCCTGAGTGCAGATACCATGTCTTCATTTTGTGGAATAGTAACTATGTCATCAGTATCGGGTAGGCAGGTGATGGGTGGGTGAGTGAAGATGAGTGGTGGACAGATTAATAGATGGGCAGATGAGTGTATAAGTGTATAATACATGGTGGATGAATGAGTTGAGGGGTAGATGGATGAGTGTATGAGCTGTTGAACGAATACATAGGGGCACAAATGGGTGGGGGGCGAGGGTGGATGGAGAGATGAAGAGTCAGCCAGTATGGGGTCTTATGTTGACAGATGCTGCAGCAGGAACTAGCTCTTTATCGGAACTCCACGGAGAATCTTGACCAGAGGTTTCAGACCCTCACTGGACCTGAGGCCTCTGAGCAGCTGGGTGTGATGCGGGACAGGCTCTGGGAGCAGCTGTGGGCCCTACAGGAGCTGGCAGCCACACGGTGAGGAGCACTATGGCCTCTCTCATCAATGGGCACCGGGGAGCTAGCCATAGCATGTCCCCTACCATGGCCTTAATTTGGAAGGAACCCTGCCCATGGAAATATATCAGGAGAAGGCTTCGTCTTTGCTATGTACTCTTCACATCTTCTCTAAATTCTTCAATAAAGGCCTACTGAACAGGAACGCAGCACCACCACCACCCCCAACACCCAGCTCTCCATCTCTTGCCCACATCTCCTGTCCCCTACCCTGGCCTTCCTATGTCTCTGTACTAAATCATAAGCTTCAACAAAGACCATCAATAACCCCATCCTCAGGTCACCTCCTTTGACAGGCCCACCTGTCCCCAGAGGAGTTAACAGCTAATATGTGGGGAATCACTGGCTGTCACCACAGGGGCTGGGAGCTAGAGGGGACTCTGAAGCTGCATGAGTTCATAAGAGAAGCTGAAGACCTGGCTATCTAGCCAGAAGCAGGTGGCCAGAGGAGGGGACAGCTTTGGAGAGGACTATGAGCATGTGCTGGTGAGGGGCTAGGAGTGGGGAAACATGCAAGGCAGACACTGAGTGGTGGGGGTTAGTCCTGCTGGGTTGGATGGAGAAGACACAGTAGAGTCATGACTCAAAACAGGCTTTTGGGGTGGAGTGGGCAGACACTGGCCATCTAATCCTACGTTTCCCAGAGGGTCACTGAGATGCTTTGACAGTGGCTACTTTGTCATCTATTTTCTTCCCTCAGCACCTCTGCAGCAAGTTTGCAAAGTTTCAGCACCAGCTAGAAATGTCTGCCCAGCAAGTGGCAGCCTGCCAGCAGCTGGCAGAGAGTCTACTGGAGTATGGGTACAGCACTGCCCCCAAGGCCTGTCAGAGGCAGCAGGATCTACAGTGAGTCTCGGGGCCCAGGCCAGAGGCTACATTTGGAGGACAGTGGTGGCCAAGGTGTCCTGGAGTGTTAAGAGAGGGTTAGTTGTCAGGCATAGTGGCACATACCTTTAGTCCCAGCACTTGGGAGGGAGAAGCAGGCAGATCTCAATGAGTTTGAGGCCAGCCTGGTCTATATATCAAGTTTCAGGCCAACTAGGGTTACAGAGAGACCCTGTCTAAAAACAAAAACAAGAGAGGGTAGCCTACTCTGAGATCATAGGGTTCTGCCTGCTCACCAATAGAGGAGGTTGGTACCAGAGCAGCAGAGCCTCCATAGGTTATGGTCTTTGGTGGGAGGTCAGGCTGGGGATACAGGCCAGATAGCTGATCCAGGCCCATAGGGACACTTTTCCCAACCACTGCCTCTCAGGACCTGGAGGATGAACTGTGGGAAGAAACTGCCTGGACCAGGGAAAGGATCTCCCATGAGCTCTCAAGTCCCTAACACAGCCCTTTCATGCAGTATCCCTAGCTTCCCACCTGATACGGGTTCTGTTCTAGCTTGTGAGTTTAAGGCAAGATCATGATCTGTTGGAAACCCCCAGCACACAGCCTGGCCAGGAAGAAGCCTTTGCACTATATTGAAAACCAAGCACACAAGTGTGAGAAATTTCAGAAAGCAGAGAGATCAAAGCTGCAATCCCTGTGAAGCCAGAGTGGCCCCAGGGAAGGGAGCAAGGTTTGCAGGAAGGGAAAGCCAAAAGCAGAAAACTCAAAGGAGGAAAAGCCCCACTCAGGACTGTTGAGCAAGCCATGGATTCCACCCAGAGACAAGAAAGCTGACCAGACAAGGCTGCTCTTTCACATGGTAGGGCTGCCTGGTCAGAGCTGTGGCAGTTGACCCAGGCCAGAGGCCATCTGCTCAAAAATGTGGAAACCGTCCTCAGAGTTGACAGAGATCTGCTGGAAGCCCTCACCCAGGTCCAGGTATGAACTCAAGGTGAAAGAGGTCCTTTTCTAGAAGTGAATCCTTCCAGGCTTAGCACCCCACCCCCTCTTCCTGATCCCTCTGGCCCTTTTCTCTCTTTAGGAGAAAGTCACCAGTCTCCCCAGTGATGTGGCCCAGGGCCTGCATGGAGTAGAGAACCAGTTGTATAGACATGAAGGGCTGGAGTGTGAGCTGACAGGCATGGAACAGCAGGTGTGTAAACTGCTGCCTCTGTCCCTCAGGCTCTTGCAGGTTCTTCAGCCTGGCTCATATGTCCCTCCAGTCTGCCATGCATGACAGGAAATGGTTCAAGAAGTACCCGGGCCTGAGTACTCAGACAGGAGACACACCTTAGGATGGTCAGGTCCTTCAGCTTCTGTGAAGATGCTATTCTTCTTTTTCTCTTACCTGATAGCTACCGGAACTGCTAAAGGCTGGAAGCAAGGTACAGAAGCTGTGTCCAGGGCCTCAGGCCATCAACATACAGAAGAGGCAGCAAGCTGTGACACAGGCCTGGGAGGCCCTCCGGCTACGTGCAGAGCAACACAGGGCCCAGCTACAGCAGTCTCATCTCCTGGCCCATTTCCACACAGTGGTAAGGGCTGCTTCCCCTTGGGAGAAGTACACGTGTACACACATGTGTGCATGCCCTGAGGCCCTCAATTCTGGGGGAAAAAATAAGCATGGACAGAAAAGAGAAGAGCGTGAGGCCACCTGGACATCAGGCAGGCTGTTCAGAGGCCAAGCACTGAGGGTGTGGCAGTTGACTTCTCAGAGTTGTATGAGTGGCAGGACCATCATGATAGCTCCAGTCAGGGCCAGGGAGTGAGAACAATAGGAAAACCCAGAACTGGAAGCCCAGATGCTCTACTGTCCTCTGGATCAACTAACGTCTGTTTAACATCTGTGGTGAGCCTTGCTAAGAGCTATGAGTGGAGAGAGGAGGGGGGTGAGAAGCCGTGGAAGATGGCCTTGCTCACTTCAAGAGCTCACCCACCCAGAGAGTCAGATTGAGACAAGGGTTAGCCATCAGGCCCAAAGCATGACACCTTGGATGGGCTTTATGGAGCAAGCAACCCTACTGTGTAGCAGTGGGACTCAAGCACTTAACTCTGGGTTGTTACTCTGTGCTGGTCAAGAGCCTAGAGTTGTCAAAACTTTCATACGCTTGGTATTCTCCTTACTGTGTACAATGATCTATTTGGACAAAGGTCTGGGTCCCTTCAGTTCTAATACTGTGTGTTCACATATCAATGGAAGACAGCTGTAGGTATTAGATTGGCAGCTCAAAGGAGGGTAGAGCAGGGAGATGTCGAGGTACAGGGAAGGCTACAGAGGCAAAGATGGCCTTAGTCCAAGAAGAATGAGTGAATTTTATTTCTTCTGTGAAATAAGCCCATGACTGGGCTGCCCCCAGGCTGCTGTTCTGATTCACCAGGCAAACTCAGTTGAGAAGGGAGGGGAGGAGAAGGAACTGTGAAACAGGAAAGGAAGCAAGGACTAGGGTCCCATCTCATTGAGGGTCTATGGACCTGGGAGGATTGGGCTGGATAAAGACAAAGAAACCAGGTGACAAGGGCCCTGTGAGCCTCACTAAAAACCCTGTCCTAGACAGCTTGGTGTCTCTATGTGTGCGTGGGTTCACACAGGATGCAGGTGTGTGCTGAGCCTAGTTCTCTGCCGCCAGCCCAATCTCAATGGTTCTTCATTGTCTCCTAAGCTCAGGTGCAGGACTATACCTCCTGGGTGGTCAGAGTGCAACAAGAACTGAAAATGGAAGAGAGCTCCTGGGAGCCCAGCAGCAGTCTGCTCAGGCTCAGTGCCCATCAATGGTTGTGGGCAGAGCTGGAGGCCAGGGAGGAGCTGCGACATCTGGCCACCCAGCTGGGCCAGCAGGCACTTCTGGCTTCAGGGATTCCCACTAAGGAGGTGGGGCCCCTTTCTGTGTGTCCCCAGCTTACCCTGTCCTGCTTACTACATACCACTTCCACCACCCCATTGAGGCTCAGTCTCTTTTCAGTGACCTCCCTCATGATCTATCTGTGGCTCTCCTCAGTCCTACCCCCTCCCCATATGCCCACCCCCAGATACAAGATGGGCTACAAGTCCTACAGAAAGAGCATGACCAGGTGTTCAAGGCCTGGACACACAGGCAAGAGAGGCTGCAGGCCATGCGTGGAGAACAGCTCCTCCTCAGACACTGTGGCCACCTGGCGAAGATCCTCACAGCCCAGGAGGCAAGTCCTATAGCCCCAGGCCACCAGCCTCCTGCTTCTGTCCCCTGTCTGCTCCTCCCTTGCTTCTTGAGTCTTTGGCTTTTTCTGAGACATGGAGCACAGAGGCTGTGGGTGAGTCCTCCCAAGTGGAGCACTAGGGCACCATGGTCCCCAGCAGCATGCCCAGCCCAGGTCAACATCTGCTCCCCCTCAGCCCAGATGCTAAACTGAGGCCTGAGGAAGTCCTCTAGAGGTTGGCCACACTCTCCACTTTGTCTAGAGGTTGGGATACCCCCAACCTGGTCTCCTGTTCCCCTCACCATTCCCCTGCCCATGTTCAGTGTTCATGTCAGCACCATCCCAGGCCCCAGGGGTCCTGCCTCAGCAGACAAGCACTGGCAGCCCTCAGGGCCTCTGATCTTTCCACTGACTAATCTAGGCATTCCTGAAGGCCAGTGCCCCAGGCAGCTCAGTGGAAGAAGTGGAACAGTTGATCCGCAAGCATGTAATCTTCCAGAAAGTGCTAGCTGCTCAGGACAAGAAGGTGATGGGCTCAGTGATTCTGAACACAGTTGGTGTTGGTGATGGAATGAGTCCTGAAGATGGGTAAAGCTGCTTGGCACATGCCCAGAGGCAGTGCTGAGTGTTGTGAAGCTGGGGCAGAGGTGTACATGTTGTTCGAGAAAAGACCCAGGCTGAGGTGAGCCACCCTGCAGTGACCCCAGGGAGCATTCACTCATTTCAAGGTCACTGCAAGCAGCTTGGTTCTGGCTATTGCAGGGATGATCAACCAACCCTTAACCATGCAGGGCTGAAGGAAAAAGACTAGGCTTCCAGAGTAAAAGAGCAGCAGACTGTGTCCTTGTCCCACAGGAAGCAGCTCTGCGGCAGCAGTTGAAGACACTCTCGAGCCCCAAGGGCCAGAACTTGGTTTACCATGTGCTGGAACATCGGGCTCGAGTGAAGGAGCTGGCAGAGAGCCGGGGGCACGCCCTGCATACCTCCCTACTGATAGCAAGCTTTACCAGGGCTACAACCCAGGTCAGACGGCTCCTCCCACTCAGTGCCTTCCCCTTGGACCAGACTGTGCAATGAGGGGTGACCTTCATACCACAACAGGTTTAGAGAGTTTTAAATGGGTTCTCTGGGGCCAGGTTGGAGCCCAGAACATTTGATTCAAAGTTGCTGTGGGCTGAGACACCTACCTGTTTGCTGAGTGAAGTGTTGTGAAGCTGGGGCAGAGGTGTACATGTTGTTCGAGAAAAGACCCAGGCTGAGGTGAGCCTGGGTTAGCAGGACCAGGGCAAAGAGGGACAGTAGGGAAGGAAGTATGTCCAGGTCCATAGAGCTCCCATCCAAGCTCCCTGTTCAGCTAAGCCTGAACTAGAACCCTTGGTTCTCATTTATTAGACACTGCCCCTCAGATCCGTGGCCCACCTTCTGGGCTCTGCTGCTGGTGAAGAGGAGGTTGGGTGGGTGGGTGGGGTGCTGCAGAGTGGAGCATCATGGGATTTGTGCCCTACCCAAAAGGTTGAGGACTGGATACAGGAGCGGGTCCAGCAACTGAGAGCCACAAGGCTTCCTGCAGATCTAAAAGATTATCTACAGGACATGCAGAGAGACCAAGCCTTCAAAGCTGAGGTCCAGGCCCATGAGCAAGTTATGACCTCTGTTGCCAAGGTAACATCAGCCTCAACCCAGCCTACTCCAAAGTGCTGATGGCCAGGGTCTCAGGCATGAAGAACGGTGCTTACAGCTCCCCTGTCCCTTGTCTCCCAGCAGGGTGAGGGGCTTCTCACACAGAAGTGCCCTCAGGCGGGACAGGTCTCCCAGAGGCTGGAGGCCCTGTGGGACCTCTGGGAGAAGCTGAGGCAGGCAGTGGCCCTTTGGGAACAGGCCCTGGAGAACAGATGGAACTTCCTCGAGTTTCTGCAAAGAGTGGACTTGGCAGAGGCTTGGATTCAGGAGAAGGTGGAGACTCCACTGGGCAGGGGCAGTTGGGGCTGGGGGCCAGGAACAGGAGGACAGGGCAGGGAAGAGCCTAGGTCTGTGGTTCTCTGGCTCCCTGATGGAAGGAGCTCTGGCAAGAAGCCTCAAAACCTCCATGTGCCCCCACACTGCCACAGCATGGAAGTCAAGGGACTGGCACCTGGTCCAGAGCTAAGCATTGCCCCCCCTCCACCTCCCTTGGCCTCTACAGGAGAGGACGGTGAACAAGCAAGACTTGGGTCTGGACCCTGAGCACTGCCTGCGGCTCTGCAGGCAGCTCTGCAAATTCCAGGTAAAGGGCTTTGCTCAGAAGGTGGCATGGCATCTCCCATTAGGAAATTTGGTTGGTGGACTCCAGAATCCAGGTAGAAAGCGGTTTGGGGAGTTAAGCAAATGCTAAAAAGGCAGGCGGCAAGCTTAGAATCTTCCCTGTTGGGGCTCCTCTCCCTGTGGACCTGTGAACCTGCCTGTGTCCAAACTACATTTTAACTTTAAAAGCTGCTAATTACTTATCTTCCCCCTCCTGCCCCATCCTCATTTTGAGAAGCACATTTCCTGGCCTCAGCTACTCTGGCTGATCTTGCTCACTGTACCTGGGAGGGGTGGCCTCCAGCACCTGTCTCTGTGGAGGAAGCGACTGTCTCCCACTCTCCAAATGTGCTGTGCCAAGAAAAGGCCCTGAGCCAGTGCTCTTACCTGTACCCCCCGATAGGATACAGTGGGTGACACCTGTGTCAGAAGCATCAACAACTTGTCACTGCAGCTCAAAAGCCAGGACCCTGAGGAATCCCAGACCATATGCCAGCGGCAAAGCCAGCTCAACAATAGGCCAGTCCCAGACCAGGGAAGACAGTAGGGATGAGGGATGGACACATAGCCATTTCAGGCTGCACAGCTCACCCCCATCTTTTAGGTCAGGTGGATGAGTTTCCATGGCAACCTGCTCCAGTATCAGCAGCAGCTTGAAACCGCTCTGGAGATACAGGAATTGTCCAAAGAACTGGATGACATCACCTAACAGATCCGGAAGAAGGTAAGTGGTAAAAAGTGTAGTGCCACTGCCTTGAATCCACCATGAGTTTTGTCCCTCTCCTGAAAGATCTCTGCTTTTCAGCTGGGTCCCATCAGGAGTCCACCAGGGAATCTGATGAGAAATCAGCAACAGACTATAGCCCCCACCTCTGTAGCTCAGAAGTCTTTCTAGTCCAAATGTGCTGTGGGTCCAGAGACTGGAAGGCACTCTATTTTCTCTAGGCCATGAGCAAGCTAAAACCCACAAGAGATTTGCCCTAGGATGGTGTCAGCCCCCACAGAGATAGATGGGCTGAAAACTGGCTTAAGTGAAAGAAAAAGCCTATGCAGCCTGAGAAGCCCCATGTGAAACAGGGTGCCTGGGTCCTGTCCTCACAGCTAGCCCAGGCCTCTTTCCTCTGAAATCCCCACAAAAGGATGGGAGTCAAGGAGACAAAATGTTAGGAATCTCCACACACAAGTCTTACCTGAGGAAACCCCACACCCAAAGCCCCTCTTGAAATCTTTTTCTTTCATATGAAAAGGTCAAGGCCAGGGCCCTAATCTACCTGCACTGAGGGCAACAGGAAGGGACTCACACAGGGAGCTTGCACTTTATGCTGCCACTCTGAAAAATCAGGCTTTTGTGGTGAGGGAGCAGCTAAAGCTAAGGCCTAGCCTAAAATGCCTCCCCCATCCTCCCCCACCCTGCCAGGAATCTCTGATCCAAACTCTGGAGGGTATGGACAATCTGGAGAGTGTGCAGAGGCTGTTGTGGAAACATCAGATGCTACAGCAGGAAATGGGCCTCATCCAGACTCAGGTGGAGGTGTGCAGCTGGGGGTGAAGGGTGGATCCAGGCCCTGGGCACATCCTCAGGGTAGCCGTGGCAGATGAAGCAAAAGAGCTTCAGAATCCTGAGAGCCACATGCTAAGACCCCCACAGCCTGGGCCTCTGCTGTGCAGCCTCTGACCTTCAGTTTCCTTACAGTCCCTAGATTACTCAGGTGGCCCAGAGCCTCAGTCACAAGCAACAAGAGATGACCGACAGCTGGTGGCAGCTCTGGAGCAGGGCCCAGAAATGGTATGAACACTTGGGCCTCAGTCCCCTGCTGACCCACACCGTCTAGTGTCTCAGTCCCCACACTGCCTCTCGGCACTTCCTTTGCCCTAAGTTTCTTTATCGTTTACTCAATTAATTCCAAGCCCATGGTCTTTCTGTGCTGAGGGGGTTCAGGGACATTGGTAGGTATGGGAAAAGGGGGGTCTCCATAGCTCTGGGACTTGCTCATGAGCCCTGTGGGCAGGAAGGAGTCTCCGGATGCCAGGCACCAAGCTCAGAAGCTCCAGATTCTGCTTCAGGATCTGCTGGATTGGGCACAATGGTTTCGGGCTGAGATGGATGCCCAGGGAGCCCCCTGCACAGCTGCGGGAGCCCTGCACATGCTGGAAGAGCACCAGGCATACAAGGCGAGTCAGCAACCCAAGGATTGTGAGCCTTTCACTGCCACTCCTTCCTCTGACCTCTACTACAACCTTTTCTCTGTCTCCTAACCAAATATGTCCTTTTCCATCCCATCCTTGACTGCCTTCTCCACCTCTCTCCTTCATGATGGGCCTCCTCTAGACCTGGCAGGCCTCAGCCTGCAGGGAACTGATTCTAGCTTTGTCACAGGCCGAACTGGATATCCAGACAGACAGCTTCAGCCTGGCGCATAGCACAGGGCAGCAGCTGCTTGCATCTGGGCACTCTCTGGCTTCTGGAATTTGCCAGTTCCTGGCTGCTGTGGAACAGGAATTGAACAGCCTGCAAGGGTCCTGGTGGCAGCACCAGCAGAAGCTGCAGCAGGCCTTGGAGCTGTAGGTGGGCCCCACCCCAGCCTTCAGCCTGCCTCACCATAAGGGGCTGTGCTGTCCCCATAGTCCTGGTCACAGCCAAAGCTGGAGGGGCTGCCTTCCCCAGCTCTTCCTGCCATTCAGTTTCCCATAGTAGTCTGGCCTGCCGTGGACTTGTTTAGTGGATCAGGGCCCAGGTGCCCTAACCTGAGCCACAAAAATGGTACCCGACCCCCCGTGTAGTGATCGGGCCTTCTGATGACTTTCTCTTGGCTTTTCTCACCAGCTTCTCCTGAGCTCTGTGGAAAAGGTGGAACATTGGTTCTACAGTGAGGAGGCCTCCCCAGCCAGTGAGGGCCTAGTGGTAGGTGCCCAGTAGGAATGGGAAGAATGGAGATAAGTCAAACTGGCCAGGGATACCCAAACTAGGACAGGAGTGGTCTCTCCCACTGAGCAGTTACTATCAGTCTTAACTGTTTCTTGCACCCTGGGATAGGCCCCACAGGGCCTGTCTTAGGAGCCAAGGGAGTGAGCCTATGGCTTGGCTGGTCCTTCCTCTGACTTCCTTCCCATCACCCTCCTTGCCTCTGCTCTCATTCCAATATTACCCAATCCCTGTAACAGACAAGTGTAAGTCTCAGAGATAGGAAGAATAATTAGGGCTGACAGTCCTACTTAGAGTGTGGGGGAGAGAGGGACGTACTCAGCCTGCCCTGGAAATGAACGCTAGACACTTATCCCAACATCTCATCTGTCCTAAAACCACAAGCAGATGTGAGGGGTTCCAGTGATGCCTTTGGGAAAAGCAATCACTTTGTGGAAGGGGACTTGGTAGGATGGTGCTGAGGAGAAGCAGATAACTCAGGATGAAATGAGGGCAACTCCATAAATAGCATCAGGTTCCTGTTCCCACCAGGACCCTTTGGCCACTGTGGAGCCCCTCCTGTGGAAGCTCAAGAGGCATGAGCAGAGCCTGCAGGCACGGGCAGAAGAGATCAGTGCACTAGAGGCCACAGCCCACAGCCTGCACCAGGGTGGACATCCTGCGGCCCACAGCATCTTGGCCAGGTGCCAGGCCCTACTCCTGAGGTACCTGTGGCTCTGGGGTGATGGGAACTGTGGATGGACTGGTGTGGACATCCAGCACCCTGATTCTTCCCTTCCTTCTTTTCAGCTTCTTGACACAGCTCACCAGCCTTTTCCAAGGGCTGAGGTCAGATGTTTAGGGTGCTCACCATTCCCGACCCTCCAGTGTGTTGACCTGTTATGCATCAGACCACGCATAGAATCCCATTTCCTTCTGCATTCAGCTGAGATGAAGGGTTGTGGTTGCTTAGCAGGGTACCTGACCCTCCTGGGTAGGCTGCAGATCTCTTATGTAACTGAAGCTCAGCCACAACCTGCATGGCCTACCCATTTCATGACGCCAAGCTCTGCCTTCTGCCTCATTAAAGCTCCTTTTTTTCAGTTTATCCAGATCTTCCAGCATTTAGAACAAGGAAGATATGGCCAAAAGCAGAGTCTACTGTCCCCAGAGAGCCTACCAGCACCCACAACTTTTGTAGTTCCTTGTGCTGGTGCCCTGGCAGGGGCTAGTACATCCCTTCCCCATTCTTACACATAGACTTCATCTGGGTACCCAGGGGAGGTCTGAGTTGACAAATAGCAAATGTCAGTTTGCTGGTTCTATCACCCTAGGTGGTTCCCAGCAGGGCTAGTGACCCCCAGTATAATGCCATTGCCCCCCTCTTCTCCCTTCCCAGGCTTGTACCACCTTCAGGATGGTCTTCCCCTTAAGTCTAGCCTCTCTAAATTTCCCCCAGTCCATGCTTTTCTGTTTTCTGTCATGGGGTTCACACCAGTGTGAGAAAACACTAATGGAGAAATGTTCATGGACCATGGGGGTAGGGTGGATGTGTTGGAACTTTATTTTACGTGCAGGTGCTAATGAATTTAACATATTGGTCCAGAGGTATGTGTGATATATATATGTGTATATATATAAATATGTAGTATATTTGTGTATTTTAAGTATAAGATATTACATTATTTTAAATGTTAAACATTAAACTTTATATAAATATATGTGTGTGTATGTGTATGTGTGTATTATTTATTTGAATGGGGTCCTGTTTAAAACAGTGTTGCTAGCAAGACATAATCAAAAAAGTGGCTTCAACCAGGCATGGTGGCACACACCTGTAATTCAAGCACTTGGGAAGATGAGGTGGAAGGATCAAGAGTTTGAGATCAGCTTGCGCTACATAGTGAGGCCCTGTCTTTGAAAGAAATAGGGGGTGGGGGTGGTAGCAGGGACGCTCAGCAGGTTGCTATACAAACAGGGTGCTATATAAAAGCCTGTCAATCTAAGTTCAAACACTAGAACCCATGGTGGAAGGAGAGAACCAACTCCTGAAAGCTGTCCTCCAACCTCCACACATTCCACGTTGCACGTGTGCACAGGCATATGTATAACACACTAATGTTCAATAAAGTAAAATTTTTGAAATAGTATTAAAAAACAGCAACAGTTCTAGTGGCTCAGGCCTATAATCCCAACTACTTGTAAGAAAATAGTTTTTGTTGTTTAAATTACTCAGTCTGTAGCATTTTATTATAGTAGTCCAAATGAATACAATGCCTTAACAATCATTTTGTTAAGGCTACTTGGGAGGCTGAGGCAAGGAGTTTACAACTTCAAGGCTTGTGTGGGCTAAGAGTAAATTTAAGGCCAGCATGGACAACTTAGTGAGACTCTTCTTCTGGGTTTTTTGTTTTGTTTTTTCTTTTTCTTTTTTAATATATTTATTATTTTTATTTTATGTGTATGAGTGTATTGCCTGCATGTATGTGAGTGCATCCATGTCATGCAATGCCACAGAGGTCAGAAGAGGGCATCAGATTCCCCTGGAACTGGAGTTAAGGATGGTTCGTAGCCACCACGTGGGTGCTGGGAATCGAACCTGGGTCCTCTGCAAGAGCAGTCAGCGCTCTTAACCACTGAGCCATCTCTCCAACCCCTGTTTTTTGTTTTTTAAAGACAAAGTCTCACTGTGTACCCTGGCTGACCTGGAACTTGCTATGAGATGAGGCTGGCCTCAAACTCAGACATCTGCCTGCCTCTGTCTTCCAAGTATTGGGATTAAACCATGCACCACCTGTCACAATTTTTTGTTTTGTTTTGTTTTGAGATAGGGTCTCCTTGTAGTCCAGCTGGGAACTCACAGAGATCACCTGCCTCTGCCTGCGGAGTGCTGGGATCAAAGGCATGCACCACCACACCCAGCCTGTCACAATTTTTTTTTTTTTAAGTAATAAGATGACTTGGGATGTAACTCAATAGTAGCGTACTTGCCTAGCATGTGCGAAGTCTTAGATTCAATTCCTATCACAGAAAAAAAATAATTTTGTTAAGGCATTGTATTCATTTGGACTACTATAATAAAATGCTACAGACTGGGTAATATAAACAACAAAAGCTGTTTCCTTATAATTCTAGAGGCTAGATTAAGGTGTTAGCAAGGTCTGTCTTTTCTTGGAGCGTAGTCTTCTCTTGTGTCCTTACATGGTCATGCTTCTGGATGTGTCCTTTCTTAATCTTTTCCTACAAGGACACCTATTGTGTCAGATCAAGGACACCTATTGTGTCAGATTAGGGCCCAACCATAAGACCTCATTTTAACCTTAGTTACTTCTTTTGTAAAAAATATTTTATTTATTATTTTTATTATATTTTATGTGTTTGAGTGTATTGCTTGCATTATGTAAGTGCACTGATGTTGGGCAGTGCCCATGGAGGTAAGGAGAGGGCATCAGATCCCCTGGAACTGGAGTTATGGATTGTTGTTAGCCACCATGTGGGTGCTGGGAACCAAATATGGGTCCCCTGCAAGAGCAGCCACTGCTCTTAACAGCTGAATCATCTCTCCAGCCCCCCTTAGTTATTTCTTTAAAGATCAATCTTCAAATATAGTTTTAATCTGGTATCGTGGGGTTAGGACATCAACATAAGAATGTGGAAAACCAGACATGGTGGCACATGCCTTTAAACCCAGTACTTGGGAGGCAGAGGCAGGTGGATCTCTGTGAGATGGAGGCCAGCCTGATCTTTATAGCAAGTTCCAGGCCAGCTGGGGCTACAGGGAGACCCTGTTTCAAAAAGAACAAAAAAATTTGGGGAGGAAACAAAGTGCCACCCATACGTAACACTAACACAGGAGGAGAAATGTATATGTCTTTGTTTCAAAGGAAACCTCAGACTTAGGACATAGTGACACCCAGAAAGGCTAGGCCAGACACACACACACACACACACACACACACACACACACACACACACACACACACACACACACACACACACACACACAGAGAGAGGCAGAGGGAGAGAGAGAGGGAGAAAGGGGGAGAGAGAGGGAGAGAGACAGGAAGAGAGAGAGACAGAGACAAAGAGACAGAGACAGAGACAGAGAGACACTGAGAGAGAGAGAGACAGAGACAGAGAGACAGAGACAGAGAGAGACAGAGACAGACAGATACAGCTCCAGTCCTGGTGGCTGAGCCTGGGAGCCCATGAGGCCCTCTTCTTGCAGGAAAGAGGCACTCACAGAGCAAGCAAAAGCCAGCGGTCACCAGTTGGAGTAGCTGCAGCAGCTTCAGACTTTCCTGCAGGATTCCCATGAGATTCCCCTTGCTTGGGTTGAGAGGGTTATGGGGTGGGGGGCACTCTTCCTCTGGGCTTCCCTAGAAGTTAGGGAGAGCAGAACCTGGTTCTGTCCTTGTGTCAGATGGTCATGTGGCTGAGGGAGAAGAACCTGGTGGCTCTGGAAGAGGGGTGGCAGGACCCAACCATGTTGCAAACCCAGTTGCAAAAGCAGCAGAATTTTCAGGCTGAACTGGATGCCAGCGTTCACCAGCATCTGGAGCTGCAAATGGTGAGGCTCCACAGAACCCAGCAGCTGACTTTGAACCATAGTAGTCATGACTAGTATCCATCTTGTGCTTTCTGTGTGGGTGGTACTGTGCTAGCCTGTGATGTGTAGACACAATTGTTTCCCCAGGGCTCCAAAAGAAAAAAAAAGGTGCCTTTTTATTAAAGATAATAAACATTGATAAAATAAGGCATGCACACAGTCAGCAGTCCTGTGGTTGAAGATGTCAAAACTGAACATCTTTTAAAAATTAAAAAAAAACATTCCCTCATTTACCCACAAAGGCAAATCTTGATCCCTGGTTCACTCCCTCTGATATCAAGTGCTCTGCTAAGCAGCTCATGCTCTTTATCTCATTTAACAAATAACCATTATAACCTCCATTGTTTTTTATTGTTTTTTTAATGTTTTATTGTTTTTATTTTATGTGTATGCGTGTATTGCCTGCATATAGGTAAGTGCACCCGTGTCGTGCAATGCCAGTGAAGGACAGAAGAAATTGTTGGATCCCCTGGAACTGGAGTTATGGACAGTTGTTAGCTGCCATGTGGATGCTGGGATTTGAACTTGGATCTTCTTCAAGAACAGCCAGTGTTCTTAACCGCTGAGCCATCTCTCCAGCCCCACCATCACTACCTCCATTGTATGGAAGAAGAAAAAGAGACTTGGAGAGATTAAGAAACTTGTCCAAACTGGATGTGGTGGCACACACCATAATGCAGGCATCAGGAGGCTGATGTGGGAGGATCATGAGTTAGAGGCCAGCCCAGGCAATTTAAGCAAGATCCTGTCACAAAAAGAAAAGGATGGAGGAGGAAGGGAGGAAGAGAGAGCCTGGTATGGTAGTGTCTGCCTCTAAGCCCAGCACCTAAGATTACAAGTAGAAGGCAGCAAGTTTGAGGCCAGCCTGGGCTATGTAGTGAGACTGTCTCAAAATAAAGGGGGAAGGGTAAGGAAACTTGCCCAAAATCACATAGTACGCACAGACTGCAACTGTGGAGACAGCACAAGTGCTCTGGTACAAGCAGCCCTTAGTCCATAATGTGTGCACAGGAGGGACAGAGGCTGCTGCAAGGGGACCACCAGGCTTCAGAGACCATCCGGGAGCAGCTGCAAGAACTGGGAGACCTCTGGGCTGACCTGCAGGCCAACTGCCAAAGGAAGATGGTCAAGCTGCAGGGGGCCCACAAGGTAAGGCTGTGGGCTATGGAGCCACTCTCTGGACAGGGCTCCAGGACTCTCTCTCTGATGTCCACTCCCATTCTGCCCCCAGGCCCTGCATCTGCAGCTCATGCTGGAAGAACTGGAGAGCTGGCTAGAGCCCGTGGAAGTCAAGCTGAGAGGCCCTGTCAGTAGCCAAGACCCACCTAGGGTGGGTGAGCTCCTGGGAGCCCAGGAGGAACTGGAGGCAGAAGTGGACAGGCAGGCCAGGCGAGCACAGGAGCTGCAGAGCCAGGCTCAAGCCTTCATTCAAGAAGGTCACTGCCTTGCTAAAGATGTGGAAGAGTGGGCCCATCGACTGCTCCAGAAGTAGATTGCCCAGGCCCCTGGTTGCTACTTTTCCTCCTTTCATTGCCTTCCTGGAGGGACACCCACCTCTGCCTTCCAGAGTGGGTGCTCATCTCTCCCCCTGCCCACAGTTGAGGGCTCAGAGTAGGTGAGCACTGAGTCATAGTCTAGAGCCAGCGTTGATGACCATGGCCCCTTCCTGGTTCCAAAGTCTTTGGGAGCCCCTTCAGGAGCACAGGGCAGCCCTGGAAGCCCAGAGCCTCCTCTGCCAGTTCTTCAGAGATGCTGATGAGGAGATGGCCTGGATGCAGGAGAAGCTGCCTTTGGCCACAGCCCAGGATTATGGCCAGAGTCTGAGCACTGTGTAGCACCTGCAGGAGAAGAACCAGGTATCAGCCCACACTGGGAGGCTGGGGAGGGGCCGCCTCATAGGTACTTGAGGCTCACAGTCAAGGACAGGGCACGGTGGCCCCACTCAGGGTTCTCTGCCTTGGGGAACACCTAGATGCTAGGGATGGGAGTTCTTTGTGAATAGTCTATGGGATGTCATGAGCCTTCAGGCACAACTTTGGGGATTCCCCAAGTGTCCAGTACATCCCTGGTCCTTCCTCCTCCACAGAATTTGGAGAGTGAGATCAGCAGCCATGAAGCTCTGACCCGGATGGTAATGGGCACTGGGCACAAGCTCATGCAGGCTGGGCATTTTGCGGCTGAAGAGGTGGCTGCCCGAGTGCAGCAGCTGGAGGTGCCTCTGGATCACCTGTAGGCAGAGGCAGCGCGGAGGAGGCTGTTGCTGAGGCAGGCCCAGGAGGCCCAGCAGATTCTGACAGAGGTGAGAGGATGTTGTGGGGTGAAGAGGGGCCAAAGCTGGCCTGAGAACACCCAGAGTGCGAGGGATTAGAAGATGACTCCAGGGGCAGGGGAGTCATCTTCTATCTCTTGTACTAAGTGACCTCCTGCCCACAAGTTCCTTTCAACAAACAGGCCACTGTGTTTATTTGCTTTGTTTCATTGTTTCTTCCAAACCTGGAGCTTTGTGTTAGAATCACCTAGAGCCTTCACCTTCTGATTGTACTTATGCTTCCCCCAAAACTAAAATAAACACAGTAATAAGAAATGCAAGCCATGGGCTGGAGAGATGGTTCAGCGGTTAAGAGCACTGGCTGTTCTTATAGAAGACCCAAGTTCAAGTCCCAGCACCACATGGCAGCTAACAGCCATCTGTAACTCCAGTTCCAGGGGATCCGACACCCTCTTCTGACCTCTGTGGGCATTGCATGACACATATGTATGCACTTATATACATTCATGTAATATATGCATAAAATAAAAATAATAAATAAAATATTTTTTAAAAAGAAATGTAAGCCAGATATAGTAGCACACATTTGTAATCTCAGCACTTGGGAGCCTGAGGCCAGCCTGGGCTACATAGTGAGACCCTATCTAAAATCAATCAAACAAACAAAACACCCACCCAAAAAATAATTTGAAAGCACAAGTGGTGGTTCATGTTTGTAATTCTAAAACTCAGGAGGCAGAAACAGAAAGACTACTCCAAGTTCCAGGATAGCCTAGACTACATAGCAAGTTCCAGTCTAGCCAAGGCCTACATAGCAAGACCCTGATTCAAAACAAAACAAAAACAATAAGAATTAATAAATTAAAAAAAAAGTCTGACGTGGTGGTACATGTCTTTAATCCCAGCACTTGGGAGGCAGAGGCAGGTGGATCTCTGTGAGTTCAAGGCCAGCCTGGTCTACATAGTGAGTTCCAGGCCAGCTGGGGCTACAGGGAAACCCTGTCTCAAAAAGTCCAAAAAAAAAAAAAAAAGGAAAAGAGTCACCTGGAACCTTTTAAAATGCTGATGCTCAGAGGCTGGAGTGATGACTCAGATGTTAAGAGCATTGGCTGCTCTTCCAGAGAGGACCTAGGTTCAGTCCCCAGCACCCACATGGTGGCTAACAACTGTCCCTAATTCCAGTTTCAGGGGATCCTATGCACTCTTCTGGCCTCCATGACATTGTATACATTTAGTGAACTTACATACATGCAGGCATAAAATAAAACTAACTTATTAAATATACATTTTTAATGCTGACACTGAGGGTCCTTCCAGTACAATGAGAATCTTCTGGGAGGGCACAGGGTGGAAGCTGCTAGAACTCTGCAAGTGATTCAGTTGTACAGCTGGCTGAGTGCCCCCCCCACCTCCCCTCAACTCTGAATCCTAAGCCTGCAAACCTTCAGCCTAAGTCCCAAAGTTCAGGGCCTAAGAAAGCTGATGCCTGCTGTGATACCACCTAGCTCCTGGAGGCTGGATCCTGGCTGGCTGAACGGGGCCATATTCTGGACCGTGAAGATCTAGGCCAGGATGCTGAAACCACAAAGGTTCTTCTTCGGTGGCTAGAGGCCACCAGGAGAGACTTGGAGGGATTCAGTAAACGCATTGGGCAGTTGCAGCAGACAGCGGCACTCCTGGAAAGTGGGCAGAACCCAGACAGGTAGGCTGGAGCCATACCATCTGGGGCGGAGCCAAGACAAGGGTGCCCCTGTCACAGAGGTGATTGAGGTTGGGCCAAGCTGGAGAGGGAGGGCTGTAGTCTATTCTGTTTTTTTTGTCACAGTCCTAGGGTACTGGCCCAGCTACAGCCCTTGCACGGCTGCTGCAGAGAGCAGAAGGCAGGAGGCAAGCACTGTACGAACAGCTGCAGCTGCACCAGCTAGAGCAAGAAGCCCTGCTCCTGGATGCCTGGCTGACCACCAAGGTGGCTGCCGCTGAGTCCCAGGACTATGGGTATCAAGGTGGATCAGTCCTGGGTAAACCTAGGGGAGAGGAGAAACAGGCTTCCTTGCAGGTGGAGAAGTCTTGTGTTTGCAAATGGGGGCAGACATTGAGGAGTAAATGGCAAGGAAGCCAGAGGGCTGTCTCTGGAAGGATACCTGAAATTCTAGAACTAGGGTTCAGGGATATTGGAGCCAGCATTAGGTGCTGCCAGGCCCTCACGAGCTTCCAAGACTGCCAGTAAAAATTCCACAATGCCTGGCCTTACATCCTTGCAGGTGCTGGAAGAAACGTTTCGTACGTTCAGCAGGGAAGTCCAAAGCCTGGGGCAAGACAAGGTACAGGCCCTGAGGGAGCTGGCCGCCCCTCTTGAAAGAGGATCACCCAGGTGCTATCCCCAGATTCAAGCCCAGAAGGGGTGCATCGAGGCCACCTGGGAAAGGCTGAACAAGTCAATCAAAGCCCGCACAAAGGTAGGCCCCCCTGGACCGGGCTAGCCAAGGGGTAGGAGAAGCTATGCTGGCTTCCAGGGCCTAGCAGACCCATCAGCCCGATGTATCAGAAGATGAGGGCCTTGGCCTCCCTCCTCTAGACATCTACACAGAATTGACTTTTTCATAGTACAGTTCCAGGTGAAATAGGAAGCATGTCTAACCAGTTTCTGAATCCCTTGAAGCCTTCCCCGACCCTGGCTCCAATTCTAGTAGGATGAACTTTTCTGGTCTCTGTTAACCACACACATATGTCCACGATTCCACTGTATGCCCTACTCTTCCTGCCCTCAATACTCTATACAATTCACTTGTCAAATAAATCAGCTTTCTTTCAAGACCTTAGCTTTCATTCATACCTGCTGTTCCCTAAGCATTCAGTGCCCCAAGCTCATGACTAACCCTGAAGCCCAGAAGATGCCTTCTCTGGGAGTCCCAAGCCAGGGTAGTCTTCAGAGCTACCCTACTCTCCTACCCTCCTCAGGAAAGCTGCAGGCTGGGCCTACTTGGGCCCAGCCACACCTCTAAATGCCCGCGTACACCCTCACGTGGACCCATCCTCACAAGTTTCAGGGTCTATGTCTGCCTTTCAGGAGTTGTATGCTAAAGGTCTTTTCTTACCATGTACCCCCTGGACTCTACCACTTGTGATGACAAGTGATGTCATTGTGCAGTGCCATGTCTAGGACATTTTCTGTATGTGGAGATGTGAATGAATCATCAACCCCCATAGTCTTCCTTGTTTAAGACCAGCTGGCACAGGGGGCCATGTCTGAGGAAGAATGGAGCCCTGGGAGCAGAATCCAGCCCCAGCAGGCCTTTGCTTATCCTCTCACAGAACCTAGCTGCAGTCCATGAAGTCCAGAGGTTTGAGCAAGCTGCATCAGAGCTCCAGGGTTGGATGCAGGAGAAGTCCACCCTCCTGGAAGGAGAGCTTGAAGACCACAGTCCATCACCTACACAGTCTCTGCAGAAACAGCAGCAGCAGCACAGGTGCCTACAGGTAAAAAAGCCTTGCTCAGTCAGGGCTGCCCACCTGAGCCTCACACCTCCACGCATGAGGCAAAAGACCTGTGTGCCTCAGTCCCTCACCAGAGGTGACAGGTAAGGGCCCGTTCCCAAACCATTTCTCCACAACGTCAGATCACTCCCCTCTAGCCCAGGGATTTGGCCTGGGTTATGGAGCAAAATGGAAGGGTCTCCTCAGAGAAGCCAGAGCTACCGAATGGGACACATGCCTGGGGCGAATGGAAGGATAGAGGCCTGACCTCGTGTTCTGATTGCAGAGGGAACTAACAGCTATTGAAAAAGAGGTGTCAAGGTTACAGATGGAGGCCTGTCAACTGTGCCAGCGGTACCCTGTGGCTCAGGAGAACCTGACTGAGCTGCTTACCAAGGTTCAGGGGGCCTGGACCAACCTGGAGGCTAAAGTCCAGGTGCAGAGTCAGCAGCTGACACAGGCTATGCAGGGCCATGCCTTCCTTGGGCGCTGTCAGGAACTATTGTAAGTAGTGGTCCTGCCTCTACTGTTAGCTCAGTTCTATCCTGTTCTGGCTTTTAGGGGAGCAGCAATTTCTGCCCTTATTCCCCAGGATGCCTTGCCAACCCTGGTTGTTTGGGGCCTCTGTTATGTGAAGCAGAAGTCTCTTCATATCCGGATAGCTCATGAGCTCGGAGTTATGTGCTGAGACTCCTTTCATAGCAGGGTGCCTTCCTGGCATTTTTCCTGACTCTCCTTTTGAAGTGCCTGCCACAAATGCCCTAACATAAACATGGCCTCTGGCTCTAGGAATACCATGCTTTCCTGTGTGATTTTTCAAGCAGTCAGCGGTCTGGCAGCATGGCAGAAACCCACTTCCATATGCAAATAGAATGTCTCACAAAGTATCTATCAGCCAAAGCTTTTACCACTACCCCCATGGTATAAATATCCCAGTCTTCTCTCAATAATAGAGAGCTGGATCACTTTAAGCTACACTTAATAAAAGCTGTGACACGGACTAAGCAGAGTCCCATGTCTTACTGGCGATCCAGCCTCTCCGGAGGCAGCATTCCTCCGTCACCGGCTCACGGATCCCAGCTTCAGCCGCCTTGCGCTCTCCCGCGTGATCCAGTGGCCAGTGGATCTCGCATCAAGAGGAAAGCACACGGGGGAAATTAAGGCGGTACACGGCTGGACAACGCTCCAGCAGCAGAGACCCAGAGACACGGAGAAGCCCGCAGGGCCAGACCCGCCTTCTTCCAGGGCGCACAGCTGAGACCAGGGGAGCGATCCCCCGCCACAACTCTCCAGGTGTGCCTGCGCACACCACGCCAGGGCGCCCAGCGCGTGTGCACCATACCTGGTAGCACTGCCGTTCCCTTTCTTCTAGAGCGTGGGCTCAGGAGAAGCATGTGCTGGTGACCTCAGAAGAGCTGGCTGGGGATGTGGTGGAGACCGAGCAGTTCCTTGGGCAGCTCAAGGAGCTGGGCCAAGAGATCCAGGAGCACTGCCTACAAGCCCAAAACATACAGCAGGAAGGGCAGCAGCTGCTGGACAAGGACCACTTCATGTCCCTGGAGGTATGAACATGGAGGGTAGAATGAGCCCCATTACTCCCCTAGAGAGTATGGAGAAGCAGGAGGTAGGGAAGGTTGAGAAGGAGAATATCCAGGTCTACTTGGCTCTCCTGCCAGTCCTGCCAAGGTGGGAGTTCTACCCAAGCTCTCCTGGAAGCAGTCTCTCCCTGCAGGTAGCAGAATGTCTGCAGGAGCTGAAAAGGCAGCTGCAGGAGCTTCAGGCAGCCTGGGCCCTGCACAAGCAATGCTTTGAGTGTAATTGGGACCTGCAGAAGCTGTGGCAGAGGCTGGAGCTGGCCGAGGCTTGGCTGGCTTCCAGAGAATGCCTGCTGCTGGACCCCAGCTGTGGGGTGAGTGGTGGCAGACCCTGCTGCTTCCTACTCACTGGCTCCCCCAGGCTGGGTATGGAGGGGGAAAGGAGGGAAGGCACCCCAGGACTGGGCCCTGACTTGCTTCTCCCAGCACTCAGTGTCAGATGTAGAGCATCTACTCTGCAGATACAAAGACTTGGAAAAGCTGCTGGCAGCCCAGGAGGCGAAGTTCACCCAGCTGCAGACAACGACAGAGGTTTGAAGACTGGCTAAGAGGAGGCTGGGCACACTGAGGTGGGGCGTGAGGGCTGGTGGGTGGGACAGTTCCCATCTCAGTTTACAAGTTAGGGTTCCCTAGGCAGTGGGGCTTCATGAGTCTCCCTCAGGGCTTCTTCTCCAGGAAAACCCCACCCTTCCCTGCCACCGCAGTGTCTTGGGGAGATGGGAACTACAGTGGGCTGGTGAGGAGGGAAGGCCTCAGAGGAGACCAGCATTCTTGGAGTGGGAGGTAGCGGGAGAGGGGTCCAGGCCTATTTCTGCTGGGCATGGACTCCATCTTGCACTTTCAGGAGCCCAAGGATTCTCACACTATGGAAGGTCTTCTGGAATTTAAACAGCAGTTCCTGCCTGAGGGGAAGCAAGTAAGTCCCAGCTGTCCCCCATTCCAGGCAGCAATCCTGTGCTGAAAGTGGCCACCTAGGCTTGGCCCTGTAACTACCAGTAGACTCATGGGTACACTTCCAGCTCTCACATAGGAGAGGGTAGGGAAGGGACTTCTCCTCCTCCTCTTGGTTTCCCTTTCAGAGCACCCCCCACCCCGCCCCCAATCTTGGTTTCCCTGTCAGAGCCTCCCCTTCTCTTTTTGGTTTCCCTGTCACAGCTCCCCCTACCCACACTTCCCTGTCATAGGCCCCTTCCTCTTTGTTTCTCTGTCAGAGCCCCCTTTCTCCCCTTGGTTACCCTCTCAGAGTCACTCTTGCCTCTTTCCCCTCTAAGATCTTGAGCAGCATAGTACTTTCCTGGAAGGGTCTGGGGCTGGCTCTTGCCTCCCTTCTGTTTTCTATACAGCCCAGTGCCAGCTCCAGGGACAGTTGCTATAGCAGGGCAACACCCCAAGCCTATTCTCAGATGTAAGAAAGGCAGCAGAGATACTGTCTGGGTGGCACTGGGGTGAGATAGGAGCCCCACAGGGAAAAGCTGAGATGCCATTGTGAATGTTGTACTTGTCTGTCCGCAGAAGGTGGCCTCCATGGCCCCCGTTGTGCCTGGTGGAGCTGAGTGTCAGAGCCTGGAGAAGGACAGGAAGCACACTCTTTCCCCTAGGTGAGGATGCTTGTTAGGCCTGGCCTCAGATAGCAGCTACTTGGCTGAAGGGCTGTAGGCAGGGGTCTGAGTGGGAGGGGAGTTTGACCTGGGCCTGTTTGCTTGGCATGCTGAGCAGCAGGGCAGAGACTGTCCCACTGTCCTAAAAACAGGCTACAAGCTGGTGGCCAGCCCTGGGCAGCATGGCAGGTGGGCTGCAGGGGGAAGGGTGGGAGAGGCAAGTGTGAGAGATTCCCTGGGTCCTAAGCTCCCAATGCTACTAGTATTTTATGCAGATCTGGGAGTTTCACATCTTGTGTCTCTAACCTCTGAGAAGTGGGACTTCAAGTCTTTAAAAAAATTTAAAACTCTGGCTGGAGAGATGGCTCAGTGGTTAAGCATGAGTGGCTCATGCTGTTCTTGAAGAGGACCTGAATTCAATTCCCAGCACCCATGTAGAGCAGCTCACAACCACCTCTAACTCCAGCCCCGGGGGATCTAACACCTGTGGCCTCCTAGGGTACCTTCACTCATGTACACAGACCCTCACACACACGCACACACACACACACACACACACACACACACACACACATAATTTAAAATAAAATTTTAGAAAAAATAGCCGGGCGTGGTGGCGCACGCCTTTAATCCCAGCACTCGGGAGGCAGAGGCAGGCAGATCTCTGTGAGTTCAAGGCCAGCCTGGTCTACATAGTGAGTTCCAGGACAGCTGGGGCTGCAGGGAGACCCTGTCTCAAAAAGACCGAAAAAAATAAAATTAAATTAAAATTCAGGGAGGTTAAGAAATTGCCCAAAGTGGCACAGCTAATTAGTGGCAGAGGGAGATCCAATCTTACTCTGCCTGTCCTCTTTGGAGTCTGTATTCTGACCCCCACATCTATCCCCACCCCTTCTAGCCAAGAACTTTGTGGGCTGATCCTTTATGAACTTTTCAGGCTCTGCATTATCTGATCCTGGGAGCCTTCTCTAACCTAGTCTTCAGTTAACTCAGAATGCCATCTCCTGAGATGTCTGGGACTGCAGCCAAGCCCAGTTCCATTAGCAGGAGATACATGTAGAAAACACCCCTTGCCATGTATGCCTTCCTTGTGTGTCTGACAGCGTTCTGTGTGGAGAGTGACTGGAATGGGGGTGGAAGGGGTTCCTCCCAGTGTCTGACTCCTAGCTCCATTCCTCACTGTTTGCACCTCCCCTGGGATCCACCTGGAGCCTCCTTCTAGAATCCAAAAGGGACTCTAATTTCTCTGTTTCAGTGGTAGGGGGCCCATGGGAAGTCTGCCAGGGAGTGTTGAGTGCTCAGCTGCATGGCAGGGCCACACGGAAAAGCAGATGAGGACTGACTCACAGAGCCCCTGCGCCTCCAGAGGTAGGACAGATACACAGGGAGGTAGCCCGTAGACAGGAGCTGTCTGAGGACTGGAGAGATGGCTGAGTGGTTAAGAGCACTGGCTGCTCTTGCAGAGGACCCAGCACCTACATGGTGGCTAACAACCATCTGTAACTCCAGTTCCTTGGGATCCAACTCCCTTTACTGACCTCTGCGGGCACTGCATGACAAAGGTGCACTGACCTACATGCAAGCAATATACTCAAATCATAAAATAAAAATAATAAAGTATTTTTAAAAGAAATGAACTGGGGGCTGAAGAGATGGCTCAGCAGTTAAGAGCACTGACTGCTCTTGCAGAGGACCCAG